ACGTTGACTAAATCATCGCGGAGTCCTACCTCATGCATTTGTTGAATTTGTTGGGCCTGAGTCATTCCCATGCTATTTAATTGCTTCAAAAAGAAAAAAAAAGAAGAAAACAAGGGAATATTAGTGAGAATGTATGATTTTTGACAATACCAGAACATTAAAACAGAAATGTGATATATGTGACTTACTGTTTGAGGTGGAGGAGGAGGTGGAGGCATCATTGGTGGAGGCATCATTGGGGAGCTACTTGAAGATGAACTGAAACTTGCCAAAGCACTTTGCAGCATATCAGGGGTAATGGCAGATCCAGAGCTACTGCTTTGACCAGATGATGTTGAAGCTTGAGATGGTCCAGGAAAAGCTGGATTAAATGGTGAAAAGCCTCCTATAAAAAATATTGACAAATTTAAATTTTACATTTAGAGAAAGAGAAATATTTTTACAGTCAGCAGAAAGACTTTTGTAACAAATAAAAAAGGTTGATTGTATCACCTGTAGCAGATGCTAGAGCTGCTGCAAGTTGTGAGCTAGTAATTTGCCCACGAGGCCCATGAGTCGGAACAGCAACAGAATCTGAGGACTATACAGAGCAATAAAAAAAATATAAACAGATAATACAAGACTATGTAGATTATCTACTTTCTAGAATTTTGTGTACCCACATTTGAATTTACCTGGGAAGAATCCATTTCTTCTTCATCAGTATAATCTTCCATATGGTATGGATAGTTGGCATCATTATAGTTTACAGGCTGAGCAGGTGCAGTAGTATTTGGTTTTGCAGCTTCCTCTTCAACTGCTTTTGCAATATAGTTAGCTGTTTCAGCTAGAGCAGGGTGATGTTTGGCAATTCTAGACAAAAACAGAATGGAAATCAAACAATAAGTGCTAAATCATTCAAACCTTTGGATAAATAAATAGGTATTACTAATATTGCTAATACTTTTCAGCTGTGGGTAAATCAGCTATGCGCTCCATGAGTACAGGGTCCTGCAGAATGGCCACAGCAACTGGATCGTCCTTCAGGGCAGGATGAACCAACATGAGATTTTCTGTTTGGTTTGGCTGCTTCATAAGTTCCTATAAAGAGAATTAGGGTCCATCATCATAAGCATGCACAAATAGTTAAGATACTTGTCCACAGCTACTGGACAATGTTTTAAAAGAATCTAAGATGGTCTTACATGCAATGTATTACTGTAGGCTGGATCCAAGAATATTACAGTAAATGTCCCAGCTAACTGTTTGACTTGTGTAGCTGTCATTTTCTCTACTTGTTTGGAAAAGTCTAGAACAAACCAGATATTACTGATGATTAGTATTTAGACGCTCATACAGTAATCTAAATAAATGTTAGGTCTAGCAATGAACTCAGTCGTTCTCAAGCTCTATGACTACATACCAGTAGGAACGTGTTTCTTCAACACATGGACGGTGACGCCAGACTGAAGGTTACACTCCAGTATTGTTTGTTCATCTTCCAAAATGTTACCGCAATATGAAAGTTCTGAAAAAGGATAATTATAAATAAATGTGAAAACAACACAGAGCTGAAAACTATTACAAATAAGTAACACAGTAAAACTTATACCTAAACTTTCCATGGGAAGGCTAGTTACTTTGCCTGCTTCCACTTTCAGGTCGCTAATTTTGGCGGATGGATTAACATTATTAAGGGTGACGCGTTTAAAACTCCCTGGAGTGGTTCTCACTCCTAAGTGCAGCTTAACAGACATTTTTTAAGGATCAAGGTGATTCTGTATGACGATGCACTTCGCGTGAAATTTTCTCGCAAAAAATGAATGGTTAAAACGAGACGTAAGAGGTCAGTAGTTAAGAGTAGGAGCTCTTTCGTTCACAAGTTTGGTTTCAATCGCTTCAAAGACCAGAAAACTTTAAAATTAAAACAAACAAAGAGATCGAGTTGACAGGTCTGGGGTCTGGCCTGGAACCAATGAAACGTCCAGAAATAACAACAAACAACAACAAAGCAAATTCACGGCCTGTTGTTGAAAGAGGAAAAGAGAAAAGACAAAATGTCAGGTACCAAACCTGACTAACCTGACTAACTTTTTGAACTGTTGAGTAGCTTCCGAAAATTATAATAGAAAGAATGACTTTTGTATCAAGATTAATAAATTCATTTTAATTGAAGGTAATTGTAGCATTATATTGTCAAGATTTGTACAATCGGAGTTTACTTATGTGCCAGTTGGATGGTAGCACTGTCGGTGGATTGTCAGTCAAACCAAACAAACCAGCAGAAAGCCAGGCGCAGCAGAAGACAACGCATATTTGAAGTGTTTGAAAGCTTTTTCCTTTTATGTATTGAGTGATAACGATGACTATCTTTTGATGAGTGTTACTAAAACCATGAAGAAGCTTGGCGTGCAGTTCGACCCACCATCATTAATATTAGTTTACCAGGATAAAAATATGAAACTGCATCGAAGAGTGATGCCAATACGCAGTTTCAATACAGGATCTAATATAAATTTTTTTGCCTCTCAGCTGCAATTACGGCATAAGGAACACCTTAATAGTGTTCCTCAAATCACAATAGAAAAAATGCTTAGAATTCTTCAGGTAAGTAATTTGTTGTGGCCATGTCTAGCAGGGCAACGTTGGGAGTTTTGGTCATTGATCATTCATTGGTTTTGCAGGAACACCTTAAGGGAAGGCCTTTGGAGACTATCCTTGAAACTATTAGCTCAGAATACATTGTGAACCCTGAAGAGGATCTGAACAAGTTAACTGAAGAACAGCTGCATCGTAAAAAGATGATAATGGATGCATCCTTTATTGCGAATCAACTTCAACCAACAGATCCAGATTTTGAATATGATAGACAGGTGGACTTTGAGGAAAACAAAATAGAATCAGGATGGGATTTAGATAGTCATCTTAACAAAAATGATAACGCAGACACAGATGATGGTGATGATTTCTGGGGATAGCTCTAGCTCACATTAGTAACATAACGCCCCCCAAATGTGTTGAATTCAGAAAAAAATTCACCATCATCTAAAAACTCAATAATCACAGCCTTAAAAGAGAAACATGAGACTTAAAACTTAACACTGTTAAAAGTTATGGTGCAGTAAGACTTAAACAATTAAATTCAAAACCATTTAAACTAAAAAGAATTGAAATAAAAAAATACATGATTTAAAATTGCTTATAACCCGCAAAATACATTTATCCAATATTTTAATTAAGTACTGAACCAGTTTAGATACATAGCAAATTTCTTATACTACTTCTACCAGAAAAGTGAAAGGTCTTTCAAAGTTGGACATAGATCTGTGTCCTCCGTGTCACTGACGATTTTAGCTTCTTCAATTAAACCTTTGTCATACTGTCCATCCCTAGAGATCTTCTCAGGTCCATAAAGTGCATTCTGTCTGATGAAGTCTTTAACAATGTTAACATTGACAGCGGACATAGTCAGTCTTTTTCCCCAGGTTAACAATGCTAGAGGCTGAAAAAAAATAATTAAAAAATTAGTGCGAAATGATCTATTTTGTTATTTTTTCTTCAAAACTTAAAAGGGCATAAAAGTATTTACCCTTTCAACTGTCAAATGTGCATTAGGCGTAATAACATGCCGGAATAAACAAGCCTTGACAACACGCCGTAAACGTTCAACCTCTAAAGGCTGTGCACATGGGTGGTAGAGCATAACAACTCCTCCGTGCTGTAGAATAATTATTTAATAAGTGGAAATAAGGGATATTTTTAAAAAAGAGGCTTAGATATCCAAGTTTGACTGTACCTCCAAAGTATGTAACCATCGCTGAACAGGCACATAGGTGTACTCTCCATACCGAGGCCAGGCAGGTCTGTGAGGCCCACTAAAATAGAGGGATTAGGTGGCACATAGTAAAAATACAGTACATTCAAAGTAAAAATAGCATTGGATTAGTTATCTTAGACTCACAATGTAGGGATGGGATTCTGATATACAATGGTCTCATTCATACAATAATGGACAGCCTAAAAGAAAGAAAGTGTTTTTAAAACAGACAGAGTTTAGGCAATATATAATTTGTACATTGATAATTATCTGGCAAGACAGTGGCTTACAGAATATTCCTTCGGCACACTTTCAATATCCAACACTGGTTGAATATTAAAATCAGGCAAAATCAATTTGCTTGGGAAGAAACATGTATATTCTAGTGCAGAGAAGTTCCAGTCGACAGTAAGATTTGTCTAGGGAGTGAAAGGAAATTAGTAAAATGATACCTGAAGATTAAATTAGTTGCAAAATAAAGATCTGAACCTTTGCATCATCACAATTTGGATTCAGGGCACCCATAGGGACCCCTCCATGTGCAACGGTTGTGGCTGGTGTTGTCTGTTGTATAGCAGGTGGGGATGGGAAATATTTCCCTGTCCACTTTGGCTCTGGAGTTGTGTTCCCACTTCAAAACAATAAAATAAAAATTAAATGATTAAGAAGGATTTATCAACGAAAGAGGCAGAGGAGGTCTAGTTACCGCCTTAATAATTCCTGGAGAGAAAAGGAGCCTTTTTCTTCAGATCTTTTTTCATAAGCCATCACTGCTGACAAGGATAATATGAGTATTAAGAAACAAGATGACATTGTCATCTTGTTGAATGAATGCTCCCTCATCAGAGGCATTTTTCTCTGAATAAAACAAAAACGTAGAACAAGGTTTAACTCAAGTAAACTACACACTTATTCAATGTTAATATTTTCTCATACATACAGAAAACCGTGAGTAATTTGGTGGCGTTGTCAACCCCTTCAGCTCCAAGCTGTCAATTCAGACACATAATTCCCTGAATGAGGAAAGAGTGAGATACACAATTCTAAGAGCGTGCTGGAAACATAGGCAGATTTTGATCGGTAAGAGACAAAAGCCCAGGTGGGCACCTGCCTTGGGTTTTCGTTATTCAGTCTGTAAAATTAAACCACCTGCTGCTACAGCTGCGTCTTCTGCTACCTGGCGCCTCCTGAGTTGTCTGCGAGCTGTAGAGCCCGGCTGAACACACGGGAGGTAATCAGAAAGTGACGTCATGTTCGGGTGGAGGCCGCGAAACATTTGAAACCAAACGCCCGGCGGGCCATGTCTGGCGTCCAGCTTGTTGGGCAGCCCCCCTTCCCTCCTCCCCTCTCCATCTCCAATGCGTCAGCCAACGCAATCATATTGAAGACATGGGGGCCCACTGTTACCCCATCCCCCGCCCCCTCCCCTCTCCCCGGGACCCCTCTTATCGGCCGGCCGGCCGATGTGGCTGGTCTGGTGGGCCCGTCTCGCCTCGTCCCGTCTGATTCCGTCCACTTGCCCGCTGAAGACGGTACGGATGGCCGCCGTGGTCGCTCTGTGTCGCAGTCCGGTCCTCAGACTCCAAGCCCGACTGAGGATGACCGCCAGCATGTCCTCCCAGGCCGGCTATCTCGTCGACGACCCCAAGTACTCTTTTCTCAAGGAGCTCGGCCTGCAGAAGCAAAACTGCGGTGCCTTCTACGGCAAATGGAAGGCCACGGGGGAGGTGAGTGAGTGCGTTTCGGTGCCGGTGAAAGATGGGTAATCTTTGGAGAGTGCTAGGGTAGAACCGAAACGGCCGGGCTGCCACTGGAGAGAAGCCGGTAGAGTGCCAGTGTTTCCCGGAGTCCCTGGAGACGCCTCGCGGGTCGGCTCCGCCAGCCGGCCCCGGCCGGCTCTCGTCTCCGCATGACTCTAGAGACGTCCATTGGTTGAATTAGTTTGTTTGTCCTCTTGGGTCAGTGCTCGCGCCATCCTTGTTGTAGAACACGACATCTGTGTGCCCGGCCAACGGGCGGCCCATCGCCGACGTGCAGCAAGCGAGCGTGTCCGACTACAACGCGTGCGTGGAGGAGGCCCAGAAGGCCTGGTCCGTGTGGGCGGACCTGCCCGCCCCCAGGAGGGGGGAGATCGTCCGGCAGATCGGTGACGCTCTCCGCGCCAAGCTCCTCCCCCTGGGCAAGCTCGTTTCCCTCGAGATGGGTGAGTTGGTGACGCGCTCAATTTTGTTTGCCGACCCCGATCTCAAGTCGCATAGGCTCATGTCAGCCGGTCCGCAGGTAAGATACTCCCTGAGGGCGTCGGCGAGGTGCAGGAGTACGTGGACATCTGCGACTACGCGGTGGGTCTGTCGCGGACCCTGAACGGCTCGGTCATCCCCTCGGAGCGGCCCGGCCACGTGCTGCTGGAGCAGTGGAACCCGGTGGGCGTCGTGGGCGTCATCTCGGCCTTCAACTTCCCCATCGCGGTGTACGGCTGGAACGCGGCCATCGCGCTGGTCTGCGGCGACGCCGTGGTGTGGAAGGGCGCCCCCAGCACGCCCCTCGTGTCCGTCGCCACGACCAAGGTGGTCGCCGAGGTGCTGGAGCGCAACGGCATCCCGGGCGGCCTCTGCTCGCTCGCCCAGGGCGGCGCCGACGTCGGCAAGGCCATGGCCGAGGACGAGCGTGTGCCCGTCGTGTCCTTCACCGGCAGCTGCGCCGTCGGCCAGCAGGTGGGAGTGACGGTCCAGTCGCGGTTCGGCCGCAGCATCCTAGAGCTGGGCGGCAACAACGCCATCATCGTGGCCCCCGACGCGGACCTGGACATGGTCATGCAGTCCGTCGTGTTCGCGTGCTGCGGTACGGCCGGCCAGCGCTGCACCACCACCCGCCGGCTCATCCTGCACAAGTCGGTGTACGACACCGTCTTGGAGCGGCTCAAGAAGTCCTACTCGACGGTGTTGGGCAGACTGGGCGACCCCCTGGACGACACCACTCTGTACGGCCCGCTGCACAACACCCTGGCTGTTGATAACTACAAGCAGACCCTAGCTGAGGCCGTTAAGGCCGGCGGAAAGATCGAGTTTGGTGGAAAGGTAAGATTAATCTCTGCTGCCACAGTGTTCTGTTCTGTTCTACTGCTGGCCGAAATCGAAAAACTCTCTCTTGACACCCAGGTCGTCAATCGCGACGGTTTCTTCGTTGAACCAACCATCGTCACCGGACTGACCTACGACAGCCCCGTCGTGCAGAAGGAGACGTTCGCTCCCATCGTGTACCTGCTGAAATGCGACAGCGTGGAACAGGCCATGCAGTGGAACAACTCCGTCAAGCAGGGCCTGTCGTCCAGCATCTTCACCAAAGACCTCGGCACCATCTTCAAAGTGAGTTGGGCACTCCATTCAGCCATTCAACTAGGCTTTGCCTTCGAGCAGAGGCACCTGTTAAGGCGGGCGACACCACGCCATTTGCCTACTGTCAGGGTGGAATTTACTACCCTTCAGACGTCTTGTCACGGGATGCCAAGAATGCCAGGGGGGACGAAGTAAGGGAGAGCAGGGAGAGGTACACGACTGCCTGCCTGCTGGGTAGTGAGTTTGTAGGTCCCACCCGGCACCGGTGGTCGGTAGGATTCGCCCCACTGCTGGGATACCTGCCTCCTTTAGGATTATACAGAAAGGACGTCCTTCATTTTTTTTCCGTAATGAAATTGCAAAGTTTTCCCATCGCAAGCTCTCATAGCGCCTGATGGGTAGGCAACATCCTGCCTGCAACGCGTGCGTGTACTGCGGGGTGGCCTACCCCGAGTCTCGCAGGCGCCCAGCTCCGGTAGTTTACCCTATGAGGCTGAGAAAAATGGGCGCAATTTCTCGACGGTCCCTTTCGCGACAGGATCTAATTAATTATTAGTTACTAACCCTATCTCATTCCCGCCATGCCAGTGGATCGGCCCCAAGGGTTCGGACTGCGGCATCATCAACGTCAACATCCCCACCAACGGGGCCGAGATCGGCGGCGCGTTCGGCGGCGAGAAGCACACGGGCGGCGGCAGGGAGTCCGGCTCCGACTCGTGGAAGCAGTACATGAGGAGGGCGACCATCACCATCAACTACAGCAAGGAGCTGCCTCTGGCTCAGGGAATCAAGTTCGAGTGAGGCGCATCGCCGCGCCCCCACGTCGCAAGGGGAGGGTAGGTAGGTCCACATACGCCAAAGATGACAAAAGGGAATGACCTTCAGACTGACAAAAATAAAATGCCTCTATTTTTTTATTATTATAAACAATGTGGTTGTTGACATCTTTCCCCTCTATGCTATCTTATCATTTCACTGTCAACATGAGAAGTGGAAGAGCAGGCAAATATTTTTTTTTTCATTTGCTGTTCGCTCCTAACACCGAGGTCTCTTTCAAAAATAATTAATAACAAAAACATTGTGATAGAATTCTAACATAACTTGTTTTAAAAAGTTTAAAAAATTAATTAAAATTATGATGAATATATACATAACAAATGCTTGAAAACACAGAAAAAATTTTGAAACAATAAGCCGTTGTTTGAATCTAGCTAGATGCCTTACTTATTGCTTGTCCCCATTGTCCAGCCAGATATCTGATGTGCAATCACCACCCGGGTACCTATGTCACAAGTAGGTGAAAAACTTACTTTAGAAAACAATGCAGCTGGCTAATAATTTAAAAATCTACGGCCATGCAGATTTCAACACTTACCTCATTTCGTGAGCAAGAACAGGGCCTTCAGGCTCCAATCCAAAGTCAACCAGAAAGTCTGGGTTTATTTTCATACCTCCATTTTCAACATCCACATCCAATTGCACAATGAAAGACCCATTTCTGTAAATAATTAGTAAATTTCACTTAATTAATTGAATTCAAATTCCATTGAATGTACTGAAGCCATAAAAGTGTGAGATTTGCCAAAAAAACTTACTTGATATGCTCTGGATAGAACTGTCGGTCATAAGGGGAGAAAAGTGCACTGCTCACATACAGTCGCTTCCCATCTAAACTCAGCTGAAGCATTTGAGGAGACCCATGAAGAGGTCGTCCTTTGATGTGGGTAAATTCAGGCTGTTCCTGTAATGTATTAACAATTAGTGCAAGGAACATGAAATATTGGTTCTTTTTCCATTTGAAAACTTACTTTTAGTTCCTTGTCCTCAATGACTTTTACTGGGCCTCCCTTGTAAATGCTTCCTCCCAAAAATACTTGTCCAGTGAGGCGTGGATTAAATGGATCACTGATATCATATTGCCGTACATCTCCATGAAGGAAATTACTGAAGTACAGGAATCGGTCATCAAGGGAAATTAATATATCAGTTATCATGCCTGTTGGAAAATATACTTAAGCTGTTACTATTTTATTCTCCGCTCCTTCAAAAATTTTTTTTGACTTTTAAAATACCTTGCATCTCACTTCCAGCCCAACCCTCAACTTTTTTGGCAGGGACGTCAATAGCATTTTCAGCAAACCAAGTACCATCTTCTTTACGAGTGATTCTACGGAAACAAAAAATAACTTTCAAGATTAATTTTTAACTTATAATTTGATTAATATTTAAAACAATGTAAGAAGTTGCAAATAGTTTACCTAAAAACATTGGCGTTGACTGCACAGCCAACAAATGCTATGGGCTTCAGAGGATTGTGTAAAAATCTTATTTCAAGAGGAGCAACTCCCTCTTCCCCCAAGTCAATTGTTTGAAGCAGGCGATGTTCAGACCAAGAAAATACATTTACAGAGCGGCCATATGTGTCTAAAATGGAACAAAAAAACAAAAAAAAAAAGAGACAGGATTTAACAAAATTAGTATGGTGAGATAATTCCAAGTATTCTTTGAATGATGTACCTTTGTTGTAGATGTATTGCTCTTCATGGCCATTCATAAAACAGCGAGGTGCACCCCACTCACTAGAAAGCATCACGTCAAAATAGGGTTGATACCAGAAATCATAGCCAAATTTTGCTTGTTTGCCTTTTGTCCATAAACCAGATACTTTGGCTGTCTTTGCATCAATCAGCACAAACTCACCCAAACCTTCACCCTTGGTGTCACCCAAAGTAGACATCATAACATGCCCACTGGGCAGACAATGAGCTGTATGGGGTGTGCTAACTCCAAACTTGTGCATTTCTTCAGGTTCAACAATCTTCAAAATTTAGGAGAATAGTAAATTAATATCAATATGGCATAAAAATAATTCAAATATAAAGAGTGGTATGACACTGACCATGTCATGCTTTGGAGCAGTAGGATTTGAAACATCAACAAAATAAATTCTATCACTACCAAAACCTGGCAGAACTAGATGGTCTCGTTTCAGGTTTGGGTCATCATGGCATGAGGAACATACATTCCATCCTGAGTGGTGCAGCTCATCACCAGCCACAGGCATATGCAATCGATGAATTACCTACAAATAAAAAATATTATGACCTAAATCAAACAAATACGGAAAACAAAATTTAATTTTGAGTTGAATTTACCTGACAGTAGGTAGGGCTTTTCGGATCAACATCAATTGTGGCGAGATAATCTGGTTTTGTTGCCTTCACTCCCTCTGGCTGGATGCATGGCACATACAGAATCTTCTCTTTCGGACCATTTTTCATGGCATCCAAGGGCGACTTGTAGCCGGGACCACCTCCACAACTTTTACCTGAAAATATAAATAATGTTACACTCATGACACTTCAAGTGAATTTTGTCGTTCCCCTATGGAGAATGATGTTAACACATCAGCATGAAAAACAGACAGATGTAAATAAAGGGACACTTTATGACAAATGACACCAACCTTGGCAAGGCATGTTACTGGCACTGACTGATACTGTCGTGGTTGATGTGACATGCGCTTTCGCAGGCTTGCGCCAATAAATGCGACGACCCCCCGACGTTTGTGGTCCAGCAGTCCAAGGGGACTCTCCCCGTCTCTTGTTAGCCGAGACGGAACCTCCTCTCCTCCTCCACTATGCTGGAATGCGGTGCGGTGTCGTGTGTCGTGTCCTCCTGCTGTCTGGTCCACCGGGTCTCACACTCTCACGACAGCCACTGCCACTGCTTGCTGTTGTGCTGCTGAGCTCGCCCAGTCCAGTGCTGGGCTGTCTGCCTGCCGGTAGACGTGGTGTCTGTCCGCCGGGCCCGCGAGCCCGCGAGATGAAGGGTGAAGGGGGGGGGGGGGGGGGGCCCGAGCAGCGTCACCGCCGGTTGCGCCCCGATCGGGCCCCATGCCTTACTTATTGCTTGTCCCCATTGTCCAGCGGAGGGGAGGCGAAAGTGAGAGGGAGCGGGGGGGAGGGGGGTCTCCCTGGTGGCATTCCCTGCCGTGCTGCCGAGGGAGGGATGAGGGGGCAGGCGGGTACAAAGGAATGGACAAAGCCACTTAGGATGACCCACCTGATCTCCCTTTCTCCTTTCTTTCCACCCCTCTCCTACCCCTTTCTCTAAGCCGCTGCTCTGCATTTAATTATTTCTCTGACTGCCAATTGTTTTGCGTTCAGGCCCAATTAGTGTTTTAACATGTGTCAACTGGGAAGAGGGCGTGGATTGGATTTTTGTGGCTTACATTGTAATTCTGTAGCTGCACCGACGAATGACTCGTATTGAAAACTGCTATGGGATGGGGAGCGTTTTGGGTTGCGGCCGAAACACGGCCGCACCTTCGCAAGTCCGCGCCATGGCCACTTTTGCCAGGCAAGCAGGCGGGAATGGGCCGCCTAACTTGCTTTTGGGAGAAGCGAGTTTATGTTTAAATTGTCCGCGGGGAACGACTGCCTGCGCTTACTTAGCCAGTAGTCCCGGTAGCCCCTCTGGCTACAGGCACGGCTCTGCCTCGGCGTCGGCCAGTCTGTCACAGTCAGTCAGGAGGCGTTGCTGCCGCTCCTGGCGACCGGCCAGAGCCGCGGCCAGCATGGAGACGAGTAGAGGCCCATACGGTATCCGGGCCGGGCTGTCGCCTGTTGCCATGAGCGCGGCGGCGGCGCACGCCTTGGCGTGCGCAAATTGATGATACAATAGTGCTGCCCAAAAATGACACCTCTTATCGTAAAGAGAGAGATACGCTTAATTGGATGGGGAAGAGGCGAGGAGAAACAATGAGGAAAAGGGGGGGGGGGCGCTTTTATGATTTATCTTGTTTTTAGACAGTCCCTAAGACCGTCTCTACCAGAAGGAAAAAATGTGCCCCCCTCCCTCCTTGCTTTTCCCCGTTATTTCTTATTAATTTCTAAGTTTCTGTATCGAAACCGGACTGTGCTGTGGCCACAGCAGTGGGGGCACTTCATTCATTGGCCACAGAGATAGAGTCACAGAGAGTCCCTCTCACGTCGTGTGTGTGTCACAAACATATGTTTGTGAGAGAGAGGGAGGGAGGGTGGCTTGGAGCACCGTAACAGGCCGTGCCGGCTGTCCACATTTAACTATTACCAGATGTGAAATGCGCGTCGAGCAGCTGT